TTCTAGCCTCTTGCCATGCCTTGTCATAGGATTTTTCAATTTCCATAAATTCATATACTGTATGTGATTATTGCGATTTTATCTTTCTTATTGAATTGAATATTTTGACCTATTCTGGGGCTTTTTCCTTTTATTCATCCCGAAGTACCCAACACTATGCCCAGAACAAGGTAAAATTAATGTGCACCAGAAAATGATCTGGAAGGCAGGGACTTTTGTCTGTTTTGTTCCCTAGTTGATTTCCAGTATCTATAACAATGCCTGGCAAATATTAGGAGCGCCACAAATATTAGCTGAAAGAATGAAATTATCGAGCATTTTCGGTGTGTCTGGTGCTGTGCATTATTTAATAAGACTCTTTGCAAAATTCTGCTGGGTAGGTGATATTATTTTCCATCTCACAGATTTGAAAACCACAGCTCAGAGAGGCTAAGGCAGGTGTCCTCAAACTATGGCCCAAGGGCCACATGCGGCCCACCCAGGACATTTATCCGGCCCCCTCTATGGTTTTGCCGCCGCTGCCTGTCCTGCTTAGCAGCCAGCTCGTCCTGGGCCCACAGTGTGCATGCGTGGAATATGCGGCCACACTCTCCAACAGCCCTCCAACAGTCTGGGGGACAGTGACCTGGCCCCCTGTTTAAAAAATTTGAGGACCCCTGGGCTAGATAATCCTTTGTTGTCAGGGACTGTCTTGTATAATACATTGTAGTGTATTTAACAGACTCCCTGGCTTAGATCCACAACCAAAAGTATCTCCAGGTACTCCCAAATGTACCTGGGAGATTTGCAGGGGTGGCGGCAAAGTTGGTCCCATTTGAGGACCAGTGATCTGATACGATGCAAGTCGCCAACCATCTGAGGACAAACGTAATTCGTTTCTCTGGCAAAGGTCAGGTGGCTTTAAGGTCATTTTAAGGGGCAAGTTAGAATTGGCCAAGTAGAACCGCAGCAACAGATCCTACTTCTTCATTCAATAACACTTGTTATGAATGGATTAGCCTTTCTGCTCCCAAGATGCCTCCCGTTAAAGAGTATTCATTCCCAGGGTGCATAGTATACCACAAAGAACCTGACTGACATTAGTTAATTCATTAAAAAATATTCATTGAGTGTTGGCTGTGTGCCAGGCATCCTGCAACTATTGGCTAAAGCAGCAGACGAGATGGTCTTATTGGAAGAGCAGATAAACGAATAAATTATCACTCATGCCCCTTTATGTTCCTAATAATCTTTTAAGACTATCTTTAGAACTACAATCCAACGTGCTTATTATGTTTTGCACACACGCACACAAAGCTTTTATCACACACAGCTGGGGTTTGGCCTGCTAAGTATGAATGAGTAAAGGTAGCTAGGAAACCAGGGAATTTGTGTTCTTCTGCCAGTTTAAACAGATATTCTGGCTCTGATTTTCAAAATGAACACTAAGATGTGCTCGAGTTTCGTTTAAGAACTTACTTCTCGCTTGTTTAGTGTTTTAATGCTCTTACCATTTCCTGGTCTGAAACCAGGTTGTATACATATCCAAGTTTGTCTCACGGGAATCAAATCTCGGAAGCATTTCAGGTAATGAGAGAAACTCATGAGGTTCATGCCTGATCTCTTTAGTAGACTTTTTTCTTCTCCAGGGCATGGAGTTTGCACAAGACTTTTTTTTATCACTTTGGCTCCAGTGCCTGAGTCTTGCCTAGCTGGCCCATGGTAGCCTTTAAGGAGATATTTACTAAACAAATTTAAGCATAAGAGATCTCTGAACGGTAAAAATAGATTTCACTAAATATTTAAAAAAAAAAAAGTTTTTTTCTATATATTTTTAGTTGGCCAGTTAATTTCTTTCTTATTTTTTAGTAGAGATGGGGTCTCGCTCTTGCTCAGGCTGGTCTTGAACTCGAACTCCTGAGCTCAAATGATCTCGGCCTCCCAGAGTGCTAGGATTACAGGCGTGAGCCACCACGCCTGGCCAGATTTCACTAAATAAATCTTGCTGAATTTTTATCTTCTGCTCCCTGAAGGTCATTAATTCAACTTATTTACATTTGTTAATTAGTCTAAGGTAGTTGGAAGTATTAACAAGAGTTAAGTCTTTATAAAGGCATGCATTTGGACAGCCGATGGAAGAAAAGCTTACAAAACCCATACATGAGCGTTCAAAACAAGGAAGTCTTCAACTGCTGTAAGAAAACCTTATGGATATGTTTCTGAAGATCCTGCAGGCATCACTAAAGAGAGTGCTTTGGTTTTTGGGGCGCTGGTGCTGAATTCTTAGAGCAGATTTATTTAAAATGCTGTGTGAAATATAGGAAAATTTGGTACACGTTATATAATCATTTCTATCCCAGATGAAATGGTTTTGGTACTTAAAGGCTAAACCTTGAGCTGTCTGAAAAAGCAGGTTGCTCACAAGAACTTCCTCCCTGAGAGTTTTAGAACAATGAAATACAAATTCCAAAGCTATTTCTAAAAATATGTTCTATTTGTTTTATTTCCTGTTCTTCTTTTTTTAATTTTTTTTTTTTTAATTTTTTAGAGACGAGATCTCACTCTGTCGCCCAGGCTGGAGTGCAGTGGCACGATTATAGCTCACTGCAACTTCACGTGTCTGGGCTCAAGCGATCCTCCTGCCTCAGCCTCCTGACTAGCTGGGACTACAGGCATGCGCACCACCATGCCCGGCTAATATTTTAATATTTTGTAGAGATGGGGGTTTCACTATGTTGCCAGGCTGATCTTGAACTCCGGGCCTCCAGCGATCCTTCTGCCTCACCTCCCAAAATGCTGGGATTACAGGCCTGAGCCACTGTACTGGCCTATTTCTTTCTTTTTTTTTTTTTTTTTTTATGTCTTTCTGTTGCAAAGTCTCATTAGGGTCCATTTTTATAGGACTACATGCTCCGGATCTTGATGTGAACTATAATAATCTTAGCATGCATAATAAAAGCTGTAGTGAGATACCATGAAATGCCCATTCTTTGGTGGGTTGCCAGGGCTCTGTGCCTTCTGCCAACTTCTGCCAGTTTTTCAAGTCTTTCTGCCTTATAGCACAGCTGTCTAATAGCTACATGGACAGGCTCTCATTCCATCTGAGACATTTGGGTTACGCTCGAGTAACCTCCTACCAAGCTTTGTCACTTGGATGAGTTTCTCAAGTCCTCTGAGCAAACAGTTTCCTCATCGCTAAATGGGAATAATAACATATACTTGTTGTAAGGATTGAAGTTAATATATGTTTATCTCCGGCATAGAAACTTGGCATATCAAATGGTAGATATTGTTAATGGTCTTAAGTCTACTAAATTAATCATATTTATTAATGAATATTGAATATTTGAATAACCAAATCTCAGACACATGCTATTCTGTCATTTCAATAACATTATTCTATTTTATTTTCAAAACTTCCAAATCTTTATTATTGATTAGTAGAAACAAACAGCGATGCATTAATCAAATCTCTTTCATTTTTTTGCAGACATGAGTCTTGGCTTTGTTGCCCAGGCTAGTGTGGTGCCGTGGCTCAAGCCTCTGCTCACAGCAACCTCAAGACTCCTGGGCTCAAGCGACCTCTGCCTCAGCCTCCAAAATAGCTGTTTTCTATATGATATATATTAGTTGGCTCGAATTAATCTTCTTTTATTTTAGTAGAGACGGGTCTTGCTCTTGTCAGGCTGGGTCTCGAATCTGATTGACTGATTGCATCGGCCTCCCAGAGTGCTGGGATTACAGGCGTGAGCCACTGCGCCTGGCCTAGATTTTTTTTTTATATAATATACCACACTATGGAATACTAAGATTTTTCTTGAAAGGACTGCATCTCCAAATGAGTTACTGTTTGTGGATGCTTAGGCTAGAAGCTGGTTTAAGTTAGCAAAAAGGCAGGTGAATTGTTGCAGTTATATGCATATTTCCGTGAAATTAGGAACTAAAAAAAAAAAATCGCACCCACATTCATGGTGATTCTCTCATATGCCTTAATCTACTCTTAAAACTGAAAGAAAACATAAACATATGTTAAAATATCAATGATAGGGCCGGGCGAGGTGGCTCACCTGTCATCCTAGCACGTCTGGAAGGCCGAGGCGGGAGATTGCTCAGGGTCAGGAGTTGGAAACCAGCTTGAGCAAGAGCGAGACCCCGTCTCTACTATAAATAGAAAGAAATTAATTGGCCAACTAATATATATAGAAAAAATCAGCCGGGCATGGTGGCGCATGCCTGTAGTCCCAGCTATTTGGAGGCTGAGGCAGAAGGATTGCTTAGCCCAGGTGATTGAGGTTGCTGTGAGCTAGGCTGACCCCACGGCACCTCACTCTAGCCGCAACAAAGTGAGACTGTCTCAAAAAAAAAAAAAAAAAAAAAAATCAATGATAGCAATCCTTAATGCTAGGTTTTGATCTTGACAATCTTAGATGTTCCTAAAATAATGTTATTGATTGCATCGCTGTTTGTTTCTACTAATCAATAATAAAGATTTGGAAGTTTTGAAAATAAAATAGAATAATGTTATTGAAATGACAGAATAGCATGTGTCTGAGATTTGGTTATTCAAATATTCAATATTCATTAATAAATATGATTAATTTATAGACTTAAGACCATTAACAATATCTACCATTTGATATGCCAAGTTTCTATGCCAGGAGATAAACATATATTAACTTCAATCCTTACAACAAGATATATCTCTCCTCAACACAA